GGCGGCGGCGGGCGGGGGGTTGTCCTGGCTGAGCTCTGTCCCTGACGCGCTCTCTTGCCCCTTTTCTTCCCTCAGCCCCGGCCGCGCTGAGGAGCCTGCCGCCTCCCGTCACCGTGAGGTGAGTACCGGGGGGGGAGGAGGAGGGGAGGGGCGGCCCGGGGGCCTCGGCGGGCAGCGCTGAGGGCTTTGACCTCTGGCTGAGGCCTAGTGGCGCCTCTGGTGTGACGGGCGGCCCGGCTTGGCTGCCGTCCCCTCCTGGGGACAGGCTGCCTGTGGGGGGCACCTCAGAAACCCACCGGTGGTTATTTTAAAATAACGTTATTCTGGCGCTTTGTCTTTTGTCTTTCTCGTTAACGTCGTAGGCTTATAAAACAGTTACGGTGGGAAGGAAGCTCTGGAGGTTATCTAGTCCCACCCTCTTCCTCAGAGGGGGCGTGTCTAATGAATGCCTACCTATTTAATTGGAAACGCGTTTGAGCCTCATCTAAGGGTGGGCTGGTTTTGTTTTTCAAAAATAAGCGTAATGGAAACTTTCTCATTATTTATAGTGTACTGCACACCACAAGACCACTGCACACAACTCAGCAGTGTTTGGCTCCTTTGCCACCTCTGCCTGAGAAAGGAGGCGAAGTACGTCATGGTTTGATCCCAGAGGAGTTTTTCCAGTTTTTGTATCCTAAAACAGGAGTTACAGGTTAATATATACTTTTATTTATTTAAAAATATATGTTTAGTCATGCTTATTTAGTTCTGTCCACAACTTCCAGCTGCTGAAAAGGTAAAATATTAGGGAAGATTATTTTTTTGCTTATGCAGAGGGAGGTTGTGAGGTATGAGCCAGTGCAGCACTTTCTGGTTCGAAAGCTAGGCACCGGTGATTTAAATAAAGGAAGAATGTCATGAGATTGATGTTGCAGGAAGATTTATTTGCCTGCTGACCCTCAAAACCTTTAAACAGAGATTTTTGCCTGTTTCTGAGTGAGCAGAAGCAGCAGCGCCCATGCCAGATGCAAGTTGCTTCCACTTCTGGTGAGCGTCCTCATGGCACCCTTCCCCTTAGTTGTATGGGGTTTTGCCGTTTTGTCATGTTAAGAGAGAACACTTCTTGATCTTCTTGTAAGCCTTAAGCTAGCTACCTCTTAGGTGTTTGACTTCAGTGAGCCTCTTTATGCCTTGTACAAATAATGCTGCTTTATTTTGTCTTTTTTTAGGGCCTTACATGTTAGGTACTGGACTCCTGCTTTACTTGCTCTCTAAGGAAATCTATGTAATTAACCATGAGACAGTTGCAGCGGCCTGCATATTATCAGTCATCATCTATGGCGTAAAAAAATACGGGTCTGATGTAGCAGCTTTTGCTGACAAACTTAATGAGGTAACAAAAGAAACCATAATCTAACTTTGTAGTAGTTAATAACTACTTGAAGTTATCTGCTTAAATATTCAAAAGAATACTGTGCCTAGGCTGTCATAAAAATCTGAGTCTAATATCTTCAGAATGTTGCTTAAATAAGGTATGTTTTAGATCTTATGTTGGTATTGTTATGTAGGTCTTCAAAAATAAAACGCCTCATACCAGCACAAATTATTTTTTTTTAAAGTACGATTGACTGTGAACCCTAATTCTTCTGTCTTGTCATCCTTTAACCTCAGCCCCTGGCATAATCCAGTTTATGCAGATATTTCTCAAATCTGAATGCAGAATTTCAAAAGTTAATTACAGATCACTTGTTTTCCTTGCATTTTACTTTCATTCTGAAGCATGTCTTTTGTTTCTTCTTTCAGGAGAAAGTTGCTAAAGCTTTAGCTGTGAAAAATGAGGCTATTAAAAATCTTGAGACTGCCATTGAACAGGAGAAGAAGGAGCAGTGGCGAGTTGAAGGCCGCAGTTACCTCTTTGACGCTAAGCGGGTACGCAGTTCCAGCTCTACAGTTCGCTTCCACTGCAGTCTCTGCTACCTAATCTGGGTGCCTCTTAAATTGCTAACAAGTAATGCACTGTTTACCTTCTGTGTGTTCTAGATAGGGCCAGTTCCACTGCCTGATCCTGTGACTTTTGCTATAGCATGTGTTCTGCCTCTGTTTTGTATTCTTGCCAAACATTAACCCTTTGATTTCATCTTCTGTGTCTAGAATAATATTGCAATGTTGCTGGAAACTAATTATCGAGAAAGATTACTGACAGTGTACAATGAAGTAAAGAAAAGGCTGGACTATCAAGTGGCTCTGCAGAATTTAAAGCGTCAGAAAGAACAAGATCACATGATTCAGTGGGTGGAGAAAAATGTTGTTCAGAGCATCACACCTCAACAGGTACTTGCTTATTTTAATCTGCTTGACAGTTTTGTCTGTACAGCTACTTGCTGTCCAGTGATACTGGCTTAGCCCAGAAGATGATAAGCCATCTTTGGGTGACTTGCAAGTGTGGCTACAACACGTTCTTGCTACTGAGTAAGAGCTAGCAAGCCCAGTTACTAGGTACCAGGTGCTTGTGTGCTGGTGATTTAAGCTAGAATTTTGTGTGGTGGTTGTTGTTGCAGCATAGAACTAAGCTTGTGATAGGATGTATAGCTAACAGGTCAGGGAACTCACCTGTAAAATTCTCTGTGTAAGACCATGGCAGCTTAAGATCTACAGATGGGCTCTAGATGTCCTTTCTTTAAGGAATGAAGCTGAGAACAAAAAAAGACAACATGTTCCTAGCACTGCATGCAGATGCTTTAATGCAAGTCGTTGTTTGGATTTGAATCTCTGACTTCATGAGCTATAATTATATCCCTTTTAATCTGTAACCCATTTTATGGGTCTAAAAATTCTTTTGCTTGTTTAAATGTCTTTCATAAAGTCTCTCTTCTGAAAGCTGTTTTCCTTTCTTTTGCAGCAGAAGGACAGTATTGCGAAGTGCATTTTGGACCTGAGGGCATTATCGAAGAGTGCACAGGCAGCAGCGTAACCACATCTGATCCACTGACGTGTGTCTCATTACTTATTGTTGGAAACTGTATGATTCTAAAGTATCATTAAACCAACAAACAAAACACTCTGCTGTCTTTCACTAGCAGTAGCAACAGTAATTTCCTTTTTGTGTTTGAAGTAGCTAAATCAGTCACAAAAAACACTACGGTTAGTTTGCAGTGGGGGGTTACTTGCAACCACAGTATGTGCAATTCTGTTTCGTTCCTTGTTTGGTCATGAATGCTTCCAGAGATAAGATGCAGAACTTCACGGTGGAAAATTCTGGTGCTAATACAGTGATAAGTGTTTGGTTTAGAATTCTGTGTGATAATGACCTGTAGGTATCTACTGTAATCATAAACATGTTCTAAAATCAAAATGAGTGCCAGTGCTCCCATTCACCTAGTCCAATATTTGGAGGTACTCTGAATGAATGTCCTGATTTTAGGAATGAACTGAAAAAACTACTTTCATAACAAAGCTTCAAATAGTGCTGAAAGCATCATCCTGTTCGGTGTGAAAAAGGATGCAGCTGGCAGGAAATGTATCAAAAGCTACAAGAAAACTTAGCTTTAATTGAGCTTGCCAGTAGTAAGTTTAAAATGGTGAAATGGATAAGTTTATTCTAGAGGGTAGGTTTTTTTCTGGATTTTCACAAAAAAATAAGTTGCTTGCTTTTTTCTTTGTGTGTGTGTAACAAGGAAAGTAGTTTTATGTGTATTGTGATAATACACAATATAAGCCCTTTCATTTTCTTTTTATAAGAAACTCCCTGAAGGATTTTGTTATATCTCAAATATCCTAGCTGAGCAAAGCACTTACCTATGTGTAATCTCCTTTCTGTTTTGGGAAGTGATTTATTTAGTAAATAAACTTAAGCAGACTAGGGTGTGCTTATGTGCCTCTTTTATGTGAATTGGTACTACGGTAGGGAAGTGCTCATTTTTAGTGGAGTTAGTAAAATAGCACAGTTTTCTACGCTTTTCAATACAAGAGTTAAGCAAAAAAAGGTGTTCTCTAGAGGTAAGAACCTTACTTAAAAGTAAGCTAACTTAAGCTGAAGCTGACTTATTTTTAGGTCAACAGGTCCTGAGCACAGATGTTTTTCAGTTTCCTGTTTTTTTAATTAAAAACTGAAGTTGCTCAACTTCCATATTTGTGTAACCCCACATTTGAATGACACTTGAGCTTTAACTAGTTTGACAGACGTTCTTTTCACAAAGCAAGCGGTTAATCTGCTGTGCTAACGATTCAGGAGTTGTTCTACCAAGAGGTGGGCAGCAGTTCTATGGAGTGAGGTAAGATGGAGCTGTATCGCTTATTCTTTTATTACTGCAAACAGAGTATGCTTGTTGACTTGGTGTAGGAAACTGGGAGGTTTGAACCGTTTCACTCTTCTGGAATGTGGGCAGTAATTGGCATGTGGTAGAAAAAGACGACAGCAAGAGAGAACAGAATGTTTATTTTCACATTGTTGTCGGCATTACTTCCATGTTCCTCACAGTGTGCCGTTTGCAAGCCGTGTAGTGAGAAATACCAGGGTAGGAATGTTGTAGTAGACTGGTATTTCTGTATCTTTAAGATTCCACCCCCAGATTTGAGAAGAAAGTTACTGTTCCTGCTTTGGTGGAAAAAGTCAGTGTAACTTGAGAAAGAAAAAGGGCCATTTTTTCAAAGCTGCTTCTGATTATGAAGATGTTCATAAAGTTCACTCAGTTCTAGCTACTGCAAAGATAATACTGTGGGTGCTTTTTTAGTTACTAAATATACTCCGTCCTTTTGAAAGAAGGCAACATGTTCATCAAAATGTAGTGAATGCGCATGCGTATGCACAGGAACAAGACATTGGGGACCAGGATTCACGCTGAGTAACTGCTGGTTTGCTGCTGTGGCTTTGTGCCAGCTTGTGCAAGATGTCTGAAAAATTGATAAAAACTAAAGCCTGTGACTTAGAAGAGGGTGACAGGTTTGTTTTGCTCTAGTGTGCACATGTATCTGTATATAAATACAACTTTTTTTTTTTTCCCCTCCTTTTAGCTTCTCTTACTGTTCAGTGGTATTCGGAGAGAATGGGAGGTAGCTCCTCAAAAGCACGTGCAGGTATTTTCTTTAAGGAGTTTTCTTAGATGTAGTATTCTTGACTGATACTGTCCTGACTCAGAAAGGGCTGCTATGGGGGTAGCTTAGCAGGAGATGTATGCATTTGGAAGAACTGCATGGCTGCCAAAGGCTGCTGTGGGACAGTAATAATACAAATAACTAAACTTTTCTGTCTGGTGTTTTGCGCTTTCAGCCCTCTGATAGAGAAATGTTATACTTACTCTAATAGGTGTATGCCTCTACGTAGTTTTTGTTGCTTCTCGTATTACTGGAGAAATTAACACATTTTAAAATCAGTTTTTGTTCCTTTTTTTTTTTTTTTTTTTTCCTTTTGAGTTCCAGTTACACCAACACCCGTTTCCACTACTCTCACTGTACCTACCACTGTATATACCTCTACGGTTGGCTTGGAAGCTTCAGAAGTCAAATGCTGGATTGATAAGTAAATGTTCCGCCTTTATTTCCCGACTTCAAACACAGAGTTCCCTGAGACTACAGACTCCTGCAAGGGAGGAGTTATATGTAGTACATTTTATGTCTTGGGGCTTTCAAAGGTTGCTTAGAATTTCCTAGTCTGTGCACTAGATATTTAATTCATAGTGATGCTTAATGCAGATACACACCTTTTAATCTCATGGGGCTTGGGATAAGTGATGTATTACATTTCATAAAGCTTTGGTGAATTTGAGCATTACTGATTCTTCAACACCTTTGTTAAAACTGGAGATTCTGACACTATTTTCTGTGTATCAACAGCCATGAAATACTCTGCGTATTGCTAGCGTTTACCTCTGGCATCGTCTTGGCTGTTCTGGTTTTTGCAATCATCTGCCTCTTCAGAAAAAGTAAGTGGCAGAGCGGTGGGAATAACAGCAGCATGATGATCCAGACCTGGTGGCAGAGAAGTGCTTAACATCTTGTGCTGTACATCTTATATGGAGGGTGCTAAGTTTCTGTGCTCTTCTTCTTCTGGGCTGCATCTTACAGCACCAGGGCTTCAAAGTAACTTCTACAGATTATGTCTTCCTTGAATAATTAATGTATTGATGGACAGGTCATTCCTGGCAGTAACTCCTCATGAATCATCCCAGGGGCTGTTTTCATGGAAGAATTAATTTTAGCACTGATGAGTTGTGGTGGGTTTTGTTGGTTGTGTTTTGGTTTGGGTTTTTTTGTTGGATTTTTTTTTTTTTTTTTCATCCTAACACTAGCCACACAGGGTTCTCACCAAATTCATCAGTCACTTTCAACGTAGCCACTTCCAACAGGTGAGCAGGGATTTGGGCTACCCTTCTGCTTGGCCTGCCAAACTGCTCACTTTGCAGTGAAGGTCAGTGACAGATTTTACAAGCTACGCCCAAGCCACACACTCTGGTGCTGCTCTGTCTTGAGCCTCTCTTGCACTGCTGTCTCCAAACACGGTGCAGACAGCTGAGACTGGTATCCCTTTCCTTCCTAGAGTGTAAGAGATCCCACCAAAATTTACAAGACCAAGTTTCCTCCCAGACAGTGACTGAGGAATCTAAGAACATCCAGGTAAAGGTCACAAGTATTATTTCTAAGACTTTATGCAGAGACTTCAGATTCTTGATAGAATGGTAAATATTAATTTGGGGGGGAGAAAAGAGGTTTGCTCTTGCAAGACACAAATGTTAGTTGACAGTTCTTTTGACTAAGGAAAAGTGCTTTGTTTTCTGCATCCAAGGCTTCAGCCTGTATTTATAGTAGTCCAAGAAGTTACCTGAGGAGGTACTTGGACAGTAGGAGGAAAGATATTCCTTCTCTGTTATCCCAGGGCTCAAATGCCATACTCACCATGTATTTCAAGGGTGCTGGGACTTAACTAAACCACTAATTAGGCACGTTAGGGGAAAATCTTTCTAAAGGGCAAACATTTCTGTAGTTCTCAGTCATGATATTCTCTGAAGTTTCTAATGCAGAGTTGACCCAGGATCCTGAGCTAGACTAATAAGTGGTCTGATCCAGCATAGCGTTTACTAATTTCCCATGTGCAGGGACAGGCTGTGACTGCTTAGGGAGTGTAGCGTTGAGGACAAATTAAAAGCAGGAAGTTCATGCCTGAGATGTGATGCTTGCATGCTCTCTAATGTTTGTGGGTTCTTTCACATCCCCAGAATGAGGTTGCCTACACCACTCTAGCTTTCCAGCGAAGTCAGATACCAATGGTTGTATGATGGTGAATTTTCTAGTGAAATGAAGACACTTGCACTTTCTGAATATCAAATGCTACCAGAACATTATATCAACGCCTATAGTGCTCTGAGAATGCCAGCACTGCCGTATGTAACATCAGCTCATTTTATAATTATAAGGGGAAACTAATGTCTCCTATTCCGAACTGCTTGCCAATGCTTGTGGACAAATTGCTTTTTATAACCTATTTCCTCATCTGTAGAAATCTCAGTGAGTCCTTACAATGCACTTGTAAAGTTTCCATTTGTGCTTGCTATTGCTTTGAACTACCAAAGAGAATTGGAAAATGGAAATGTTACTCTGCGTTTGTTCATGTCTGTGCCCTTATGTTTCCCTTTTCTGTCACTGACTATAGCATTTTTCTTGTTTTATGATTGCCAAATGCTCTGATTAGTTATTTTCTGCTTATTGAAGTTATGATACGATAATGAAATGTTTGTATGCAAATGTCTGCTTCCTGATTGGGTCACATAAAAGAAGTACACAATCACAGTGTGACAGTCAAAATTTCTGGAAATGTTCATTCATGTGTTATTACCCATAGTGTTCCAAATATATTGTAAAAAGTTGAAAGTCCTCCCCTTTCCATAAACTGGGGAATAAGCTACCACTATTGACTTAGTCTTAGCACCCACAGAGAAGCTTCTCTGCCTGTTCCTGTGCCCACAGATGGGAGGTTTGTTGTCCGAGTAAGTACAGTGATCTCCATCGGTTGTCCAGTGCTTCTCGGGCAAGGCTGAATCGGAGCAAAGTTTCCTGCCACCTTGTT